GCAGCAGCAGAAGCAGCGCAGCAGCAGCAGCAGCTGCTGATGCGAATAGGCCGCTTACAAGAAGAAAAACTAAAAATAGAAAAACAACAAATAACACAACTCAACACAAAAAATAAAGCCTTCTCAGATGCTCTCCAACAAGCGCAACACAGAGCTGTAAGGGTTTAGGGTTTAGGGTTTACAAGGGTTTAGGGTTTAGGGTTTAGGGATTGCAAGGGTTTAGGGTTTAGGGGTTGCAAGGGTTTAGGGTTTGTAAGGGTTTTGGGTTTAGGGTTTGTAAGGGTTTAGGGTTTAGGGTTTGCAGGGGTTTAGGGTTTACAAGGGTTTTAGGGTTTGCAAGGGTTTAGTGCTTTGGGTTTAGGGTTTACAAGGGTTTAGGGTTTGTAAGGGTTTAGGGTTTGTAAGGGTTTAGGGTTTGCAAGGGTTTAGGGTTTAGGGTTTTGGGGTGTATGCAGGCAGTAGCAGATCAGCAACGAGATGAAATTGCGAGCTGCTTTGAGGCGCTTCGTACAGAAAGAGAAAAATTGTTTAAAACTGTGAGGGTTTAGGGTTTGTAAGGGTTTAGGGTTTATGAGGGTTTATGAGGGTTTAGGGTTTGCAAGGGTTTATAAGATAAGGGTTTATAAGGGTTTATAAGGGTTTAGGGTTTAGGGTTTGAGGGTTTTCTTTGCAGAATGATGAGATGGCGAGAGAGCTGCAGCTGCTTACTGAAGCAAACAAAGTGAAGACAAAACCCTAAACCCTAAACCCTTATAAACCCTTATAAACCCTTATAAACCCTAAACCCTTTGTTGTATCATATGAGGGTTTAGGGTTTAGACACTGACCAGCCAAAACCCTAAACCCTATTCCTTGAATTAATCCCTGTATAATACTTTTTTTAAATTGAGGGTTTAGGGTTTTCAAGGGTTTAGGGTTTAGGGTTTAGGGTTTAGGGTTTAGGGTTTATGCAGGCATTTGAGGGTGTAATAGAAGAACACCAAACAAAAGTTTTTTCTTTAGAGGCATCATTAAGGAGACAAACAGAAGCGAGAATAGAAGCAGATAAAAAACTACAAAAGATGAAAGAAAAATATGAAAAACAAGAAAAAAAAAGACGTATGCAAACCCTTTTCTAGGGTTTATTAGGGTTTAGGGTTTAGGGTTTAGGGTTTAGGGTTTGCAAGGTTTGCGAGGGTTTAGGGGCTGGAAGGGTTTAGGGTTTGCAAGGGTTTAGGGTTTAGGGTTTGTAAGGGTTTAGGGTTTAGGGCTTAGGGTTTAGGGTTTGCAAGGGTTTAGGGTTTAGGGTTTGCAAGGGTTTAGGGTTTAGGGTTTGCAAGGGTTTAGGGTTTAGGAGATAAGAAAATTTCAAGACGATAACCAGCGAGGGTTCATCTGCCGCTAAACCCTAAACCCTAAACCCTAAACCCTAAACGCTAAAGTTAGTGGTAGTATAGAAGGCAAAACAAGCTCTTGAGGGTTTAGGGTTTAGGGTTTAGGGTTTAGGGTTTGGGGTTGTGTGTGTACAGTTTTGGCTGCCTCTGAAGACCCTTCGTTGTCTATAAACAATTTGCTGCAAGAGGAGAACGATACAATGCGCGTGAGGGTTTAGGGTTTAGGGTTTGCAAGGGTTTAGGGTTTGCAAGGGTTTAGGGTTTGCAAGGGTTTAGGGTTTAGGGTTTAGGGTTTGTATGCAACGCAGCGGCGGCTTCTCTGCGGGGTTTGCAATGAACGCTTTAAAGATCACATCCTCGTTAAGTGCGGCCACATGTTTTGTCAAGGTAAACGAGGGTTTAGGGTTTAGGGTTTAGGGTTTGCAAGGGTTTAGGGTTTAGGGTTTAGGGTTTAGGGTTTGCAAGGGTTTAGGGTTTAGGGTTTCTATGAGGCTGTCTTTGAAGGTGGCGGTGACAAGGCGCTAGCTTAGATCCTCCCTGGCATCGAGTCTAGGGTTTAGGGTTTAGGGTTTAGGGTTTAGGGTTTAGGGTTTAGGGTTTGTGGTGTATGTGTGGCGTGCAGAGTGCATAGAGAAGAATGTGAAGGCCCGCAACCGCAAATGCCCCCATTGCAGTCCGTCGCTTTCTCCTNAGAGTGCATAGAGAAGAATGTGAAGGCCCGCAACCGCAAATGCCCCCATTGCAGTCCGTCGCTTTCTCCTTTCCCCCAGCTAGCTAGCTAGCTAGCTAGCTAGACAGCTAGCTATGCAGCTAGCTAGCTAGCTAGCTAGACAGATAGCTAGCTAGCTAGCTAGACAGATAGCTAGCTAGATATATAGCTAGCTAGATAGATAGATAGACAGATAGCTAGCTAGCTAGCTGTCGGCTAGCTAGCTAGCTAGAGGAGTAGCTAGCTAGAGAGCCAGCTAGCTAGCTAGCTAGCCTATCAGTAACCAGATTTTAGCTAGCTAGCTAGCTAGCTAGCTA